ACCCTGCAGGTGCACAGGGTCAGGAATATTGATACTTTTACAGTTGGAAAGAATATATAAAGGGTTTCATTAATTTCTCAACGGCTTTACATGTGCACAGGGTCAGGAATATTGATAGTTTCAAATTGGACAGAATATATGAAGGGTTTCGTAGCAGGACGTCCAGGGTCAGAGGCCATACTTTCAAAACTCGCTAAGTGAACGTAAGTACTTACGCTCTATTTTTTTGTCCATGATTGGTGGATTTTGCTAGAAAGGCCGTCAATGATTGGCTGATGAACTTACGATCTCTTAACTTTTTTTGAAAGTATAAGCCCAGGACTATTGATAGTTTTACAGTTGGACAGAATATATGAAGGGTTTCATTAATTTCTCAACGGCTTCATGTCAAACACACCGTGGTTCATGCTACTATTGACATTAAAAAATATAACTACTGCAACCGTAGCAAGACGTCACCCTGCAGGTGCAAAAGGTCAGGACTATTGATAGTTTTATAGTTGGACAGAATATATGAAGGGTTCCGTAGCAAGACGTCACCCTGCCGGTGCACAGGGTCAGGACTATTGATAGTGTTAGGGAATTAGAATTTAGTATTTTCATAATTTCGTATTTTTGTAATTTTAGTTTTCCAATTAGAAATGCGAAAGTTAGATTTGTAGGTTTTAGTCAGTTGGACAAATGTATGAAGAGTTTCGCAGCAAGACGTCACCCTGCAGGTGCAGAGGGTCAGGAATATTGGTAGTTTTATAGTTGGACAGAATATATGGAGGGTTTTATTAATTTCTCAATGGCTTCACGCCACACAACTCCGTGGTTCATGTTACTATTGGCATTAAAAAAAATTTGTGCCGTAGCAAGACGTACGTCACCCTGCAGGTGCACAGGGTCAGGACTATTGATAGTTTTACAGTTGGACAAAATATATGAAGGGTTTCATTAATTTCTCAACGGCTTCACAGGTGCACAGGGTCAGAAATATTGACAGTTTTACAGTTGGACAAAATATATGAAGGGTTTCGTAGCAAGACGTCACCCTGCCGGTGCACAGCATCAGGATTATTGATAGTTTTATATTGGACAGAATATATGAAGGGTTTCGTAGCAAGATGTCACCCTGCCGGTGCACAGCATCAGGATTATTGATAGTTTTAAATTGGACAGAATATATGAAGGGTTTCGTAGCAAGACGTCACCCTGCCGGTGCACAGGGTGAGGATTTTCACAGGGTCAGTGTATTTTTTCCATAAATGAGAAAATGCGCTAAAAATGGAAGCGTCATATTTCGGCTTCTAATTTTGTCAGTTGAAACTGTAGAGCGCAATGCGCTTTTGGTCAGGACTATTGATAGTTTTATAGTTGGACAGAAAATATGATGAGTTTTACTAATTTCTCAATGGCTTCACGCCACACAACTCCGTTGTTAATGTTACTATTGACATTAAAAAAATGTGTGCCGAGCAAGACGTCACCCTGCAAGTGCACAGGGTCAGGACTATTGATAGTTTCATGGTTGGAAAGAATATAGGAAGGGTTTCATTAATTTCTCAACGGCTTCACGCCAAACAGTTCCGTGGTTCATGCAACTATTGACATTAAAAAATATAGGTAACTCAGTACTCACTGCAGTGAATGACAGAGAGCGCATTTTCTCGTCGACGAAAACGAAAAGTCAAGGACGGACAGATAGACAGACGGACATGGCGAGCACAAAAGCGCATTTTTTCCATAAATGAGAGAATGCGCTAAAAATAGAAGCGTCATATTTCGGCTTCTAATTTTGTGCGACTCAAAAAGATAGCGCCATGCGCTGTTAAAATAATGAGAACGTTCGGAGCACCGATTTCGGGAATACTTGATAAATATTCAGGATTCTGTTAAGTTGTAGCAACTGGAAAGAGATAAGACAGGAGAATTAAATGGGAAAGAGATAAGAAAAATAATGGAAGACTGGAAAGTTAACTGGATAGAGACAAGAAAAATAAGGGAGGATTGGAAAGCTACATGGATAGAGACATAACATAAAACATAGTGATCTCGGCGCTGCAGTGTAGGCCTGATGTGGCCTATCGCCGATTCTTTTCCATTTCGTGCCTTGTTCACAGAAGATCTAACATCGTGTCATTTGACCGGATCTTTTCATGACTGACGATAGTTTGAAGTTGCTACTAGACTTCCACCGGGTTCGATATGGTGCTAGGCATTTCAAATCTGAACATATATTTTTCCATAGCTTTATCTAGTCTGTTCTTGTACGCGTTCATACTTGGAGCACCAACGATGTCATCGGGGAGGCTGTTCCACATGTCGGTGATTCGAAGCGAGAAGAAATTTTTGTCGGTGATTCGAAGACGAGAAAAATAATGGAGGACTGGAAAGCTAACTGGATAGAGACAAGAAAAATAATGGAGGACTGGAAAACTAACTGGATAGAGACAACAAAAATAATGGAAGACTGGAATGCTAACTGGATAGAGACAAGAAAAATAATGGAGGACTGGCAAGCTAACTGTGAAGAGATAAGAAAAATATTAGATGAATGGAAAGAGATGAGAAAAATAATGGAGGAGTAGCAAGCAAACTGGGAAGTGATTAGAAAAATAATGGAGGAAAGGAAAGCTAACTGGGAAGAGATAAGAAAAATAATGGAGGACTGGAAAGCTAACTGGATAAAGACAATAAAAATAATGGAGGACTGGAAAGCTAACTGGGAAGAGATAAGAAAAATAATGGAGGACTGGAAAGCTAACTGGATAGAGACGGAAAAATAATGGAGGACTGGAAAGAGATAAGAAAAATAATGGAGATAACCAATAATGAAGGAATTTGGCTCTAGAGTACCCACGGCTCGGAGGTGAGGACGTCGAAGGCGGCGCGGGCGCTGAAGGCGGGCGAAGTAAGAAAGTTAAGGTAAGGGGATCGAGGGTTAAGGAACTAAGGTATTTATGGGTAAGGGAAGGGTAAATGAAAGAAGGTACGTAGTTAAGGGTAAGGGGAGAGTAAAGGAATGAAGTTACTTATGGGTAATGGAACGATAAATGAAGGGTAAAGGAAAGAAAGTAGTTACTGGTAATGTCAGAATTCTCATGATATGTCGGTAAGAGATTATACGTAGGCAGTTGTGTATAATCACAATGCATTACAAGGAGCATTTGTGAAGTGGGTACACCTGAGGGCAGGTGAAGGAAATTATGGGCAATTTAATAAGTAATAATAGACGTTAAAAGAGCAGCGAAGGGCTGGTAAATGGTTATAATTAAAAGCTTCCCACAACTCTGAGCAACTCAAAACGCGTGAGTTAGTGTCACAGACACTGTTAGAGAGTTCACACATATCGTTCAACTAGACAAATAAATTTATAATATTATAAAGCAAATGTCACCAACTTAAAAAACGCAAACACAATAGTCATCACAGTCTGGGATACCCGTCCAACCACAAGTCATCACAGTCTGGGATACGCGACCAACCACAAGTCATCACAGTCTGGGATACCCGTCCAACCACAAGTCATCACAGTCTGGGATACCCGTCCAACCACAAGTCATCACAGTCTGGGATACGCGTCCAACTACAAGTCATCACAGTCTGGGATACCCTTCCAACCACAAGTCATCACAGTCTGGGATACCAGTCCAACCAAAAGCCATCACAGTCTGGGATACCAGACCACCAATCCAACCTAGCCATCACAGTCTGGGATACCAGTCCAACCAAAAGCCATCACAGTCTGGGATACCAGACCACCAGTCCAACCAAGCCATCACAGTCTGGGATACCAGTCCAACCAAAAGCCATCACAGTCTGGGATACCAGTCCAACCAAGCCATCACAGTCTGGGTACCCGTCCAACCACAAACCTTGAGGTGGTAGCCGCTGCGGTAGCCGATGCCGTAAGCGTTGTTGACGACGTTGTGATGCGACAAGACCGCGGCCTTCGGGTTGCCAGTTGTGCCCTGTTCAAGAGGTGGAGTTGGGGTTGGTAAAGTGGGTACGAGTAACGACTGTACAACACCAGCGCTAATATCATTCACTGGAGCAAACTGTGCGACACTCGTCGATTCAACCTTAGAGCCAACCAGAGTTGGGAGTTGTAAATAAATTAAACTCAACCGGTCCTCATGGAACTGGATTTCTTCCAAAGATAAACAATAAGTAAAACTGAAATAATCATCAATGATGGAAACTGTTAATCATCTAACTGGAACTTTTTCAGCAGACTGATTTGAGTGAAGCTCGCTGAGAAGAACATTTATCCATATACTGCCTCTAGCCGCACTCACTGAGGTGAACTGGATGCTGCAGGGAGCATCAAACTGCACCTCGGCCGCCCGCTGACTCAGCAGCTCGCGGTGCTCCGCCGTGGCAAGGCACGACAGCTCCGAGAAGCTCAGCGCACCTCTGGCAGAGGAAAGCAAGACTCACCAACAAGAGGGTATTGCGGCAAGCCCTAATGGTCAGCGTCTTAACCCTTCATCGCGGCTCAAGGGTGGCCTAAACCCTTCTTCCGGGCTCAAGGGAGATGTAAACCCTGCATCCGGGCTTAAGGGAGGCCTAAACTCTTCATCCGGGCTCAAGGGAGACCTAAACTCTTAATCGGGGCTCAAGGGTGGCCTAAAACAATCATCGGTATGTCATTTAAGGTGCTACCAGGGTTGTGGGGCTGAATGGAGTGTCTGTTCACCTTTTATGTGATGCACAAACCGTTTCAGGTGATTGCTTTCCTTGTGTGTCCCCAACCCCAAACAACTCCAATCACAGGCTATAACCAACCCAATTATGCGCAATGCGCGCTTTCATCTCCGACTGTTTTTTCCATTACTCCTTCCTCTTTCTGGCCACTCTGCGCCACCTCTTGTTCTCTTCCACTCTCTCCTAGTTGCATCGCAACAAAAAAGAAAACAACTTCCTATAAACCGCTCGAGCCGTTATCAGCGCGTGATAAGTGGACCGTTTCGCTCCTCCTTCCCCCAGCACCCAGATATTAGCATGCTTTATCAGCGATTCTCTCTATGCTACGAACTTACACTGAAGCCGCCGTTAGAAAAGGCTAGTGTTTCTATATTACCCAACCCAAATAGGCTTGCAGTCTTCTATTTTTATATTAACCACACGCAAAATAGCCACGTAAACTTTTATTTCATTGCCACACTTCTCTTTACCTTCACTTCTTGTTTGTCTGCTACAGATCTTTTAATCGATATTTAACACACTTCTACCTGTCCAATCGACCTGAAATTTTGCACACTTGCGTTAAGTCGGAGACAGTGTAAGAACCAATTGACACAGTAAATAATTTTGGAAATAAAAAAAATTATTTTACCTTTAGCCATGCGCAAGAACTGAACAAGTTAATTAATGTCTCATGCTCCTTCGTCAAACTAATTACAGACGTCGATAGGCTCAAAGCTATTCAGTTCAGTTCCATTGTCGAGACAAATTGTCGTTATATAGATTAATATGTACTCGCGTTTTAAAATATCCTCTCTTATTCTCTTAATAATTATTTTATCTTATTGTATTTATACAGTATTTTATTGTGCTTATATGAGAACAACACTCACGGCCTGGCGTCCCCAATGAGGACAACACTCACGGCCTAGCGTCCCCTATGAGGACAACACTCACGGCCTAGCGTCCCCTATTAGGACCACAGTGGAGAGGGACGGGAGGGCCTGGGACGTGAGGCGGGTGGGCGATGCGGAGGAAAACAAACCTGTTATCATCAAAATCGACCATTCAATGATTAGCAAAATCTTGAGAATTAAACAATGCCAGTTTAAAGAGGTTACGCATAAATTTGTAAAGGTGGTGCATTGTGGAAGGTGTGCATAGATTTAAATTTTATATGCATCTTAATCATATATCAGATCGAATGATTGTACTGATTAATGCTGGAAGTCAACACTTACATAGTCTTGATAGACAAACATGGATCGAATTAACATTAATATCGTCGAAGTCAACATAATGGAACTGTCATGCATTGGATTGTAAAATATATTTAGATATCTTAAATTTGAGATTACGTATATCATGAAATATACTATTTTCAGGCAATATATCGTTGTTAGACAAAATTAATAAAGTTTTTATGCAAGATTTTTTTCAATGCTCCATTAAGCTGGAGGTTCATCACAGGAGAATCAGTTATTTAAGAATTGGTATTTTCGGGACCTGAATCAGAATTCTATCTGTTTATATACGTAACAATCAATTACTATACGTTTTACGTTACAATAAATCTAAAATTTCGATACCGAAGTTTTTCGCACTATTCCGGTCTTTCAGAGGTTGAAAAGGCAACAGTGAGCCCTGCGGCTAAGCCGTAGCCGCAGAGTTCTGCACACAGCGTACGTGTCGGAAACTGGCGAGAAGCTGTCCCATGATGACACGAGAATCGCATACTAATTTACTTCAATCACACTATATTGTTAGACATAATAATATATCTACCAGATTTCTGCTTCAACACACTTTTTCTAACAGAACTACAAATTTACACATTTAGTTGCATAGTATAGAACAAACGTAAAGAATTACGGAGACGGGAAACCGCAACGGCGAGAAGAAACAAGCACCGCAGCTAAACAAGCTACAAGTTGCAGACATAGAAAACATAATAATCAAAAGCCAGAATGATTATTATGATACGGAAAATGCGTGGAATGGGTTTCAAGATAAGTTAAAATTAGCCAAGACTGACTCGACGTTTTTGAAGGTTGAAGACATGACGAGCGCTTTGACGTCGACTTTCTTAAGGCAGTAGAGCAGCTCGCTGGCCACGTAGCTCGGGTTAATGTTCACCTGGAGGGCGCAAGATGTCAGATCGTGTAGACTTAAAAAAATAACAGTACTATTTAGCGCATTTTATAATTTATGGAAAAAATGCACTATTGTGCTCGCCATGTCCGTCTGTCCGTCCGTGACTTTACGTTTTCGTCGACGAGAAAATGCGCTCTCTCACTCCCTGCAGTGAGTACTGAGTTATATTTTTTTCTAAATCTGATTTCCATGACGCGAGGAGAAATACATTCTGATGGAAGTGATCAATTGATGGTTGAAAACTAAAACAACTAAACTAGATACATTTTCATTCCGATACATTTAATAGAGAGAAATTAGGGAGTTGATGATTTCATCGACTATAGACATTGACAACAATCTATGTTTACATGGGCTAAGACAGAAAACAGAGTAATATCAAGCGCAGATTGTCGCAAGTGCAAAATGTTAGTTTTGATCGAGAAAAAAAGACGAACCCACTCACTAAGACGATCCCACTCACCAAGACGAACCCACTCACCAAGACGAACCCACTCACCAAGACGAACCCACTCACCAAGACGANTGTACCAGTCTACCAGAAGACCACGATTAATATCACAAAATTGCTACTCTAAAACTTTAATCGGCAGAGATTCTATTACTGAAACCTGAAGCTGTAGTACGCTCACACAACACACACAGCACAGTGCACACTGTACTCGATCTCAGCAGTAACTGACCGCTGACGCCCAGCTTCAGAGCTTCACTTGCGAGTTGCGGCTCAAGGTCGTTTCACACTTCAGTCTAGGCAACAACTAAATAAACAGCAGGTTTATTGGCGACAGTATTGAGGGAAAACTAGTAATCGAGCGTCTGCATCGACACATCTTCAACCTTGAGCTGCAATTATATTTATAGTTCCAAATCATCGCTCTTGTCGCAAACATAATGATATAATAGACAGTTATCCGAACTCACCAGCGGACTCAGAGGCAAACATAATTTTTTAGCAAGTGCCCCATTCATAACTCCTTCAAGTCTGAACGGATCTTCATGAAATTCTAAACATGAGCTATAAATAGCATTGCACTAGTATTGTAGTTTTAGCACATTTATTCGTTGCTTCGTTCCTTATTAAAACTCATTTTTCTTAACAAGTGAGACACTCATATCTCTTTCAATTTCGAACGGATTTGCTTGAAATTTAAAACATGCGTTATAAGTTGCAATACGCCATTTTATGCATATTCATTTATTTTTGAGTAGCATAGGTTCCAATTAAAAAGAAACTTACAAAATATTTGGTTGGTTAGGATAGGTTAGGTTGAGATAGGTAAGGTGAGATTGGTTAGTTAAGGCTATTTGTTGCTACCTATATTATAATGTAGTTCATCTTAGCTGAAACAACAATGCTAACCCGAAAGACGGGCCACAGTGGTTCCGCCGTATACGGTTGTGACCCATCAATATTAAATATTTATGTCGATCCGTCATGAAATCCAATTTATATAACATATTTTCTGCGTATTAAATTAAGTAAGATTAGTTTAGCGAATCCTACATAAAGCGTTAGGGTTTATTGGCAAAGAAACTGACACTGGAGTTTGCCTAACATTTATTCCAGTATAAGCGTCTCAAAATAGTAAGCATATATACCAGCTTTGCATTAAATAATTTTAAAATCCATGGTTTAATTACT